GCTAAATTCTCCTATTTCAGAGCAGACGAACATATGTATAAAAGTAATCGACGCTACAGCACGCTGCGTGGTTTTTCAGCGATTTCCTACGCAACGTTCCGTTCCCATAGAGCGATTAAATCTATGCACCATTGCCGACCCTTCCGTTAAACGTGATCGCCCCTCGATGCGCATTGCGCTGGCAGTCACCCCTCTGTTTTCACTAAAATTTTTTCCCTCTCAGTTCTCATAAAAGAAATGCTCTTCACTCTGAAGGATAATGTTCTACTTCACAAAGTAGCCTTCTATAGTTGAACGTTAATCAATTTACTGTTTTTAATTGTGTCACTGCCACGAACGATCATCTTATCGTAGGAATCCTGTTAATGAATCCTAATTGATGTGGGAGTGAGTGGCATTGAAAGTTTTAGTCATCTATAACTCTAATAATAGTAATTATCCTTAATGAACCTGCTTATCATCCTGTTTCTATTCTTTTTTTTCATACAAAAGGAATTATCACTTGAAGGAGTTTAATGTCTGCCGATTTATTATACAGTTTTGAGAACAAATGGACGTTAATTTTTTAAAATATTCCATAAACCCCGTCGAATACTGAAATGTAATACAATGCCGTTAGAAAAGTGAGCTACGTAACGTGGGAAAGAAGAAAATCACTTGACCGAATCGGCAGTGGTGTTTTTAAAGGATCGACAAATAATTTGCCTGTGTAACTCGTCTATTCAATGTGACCTCAGTTTTTCAGGCGAGCGAACAGTGACGAGAAATGTGGCAACCTCGGTTGACGTCCGCGATACTAGACGCAGGTGTAACTAGGGCGCGAAGCTGAACACCCATTTCGTGATTTAGTTGTATGGTGTTATGAAAACAGGTGCAGGTATACCCGATTCCTGCCTCTTTATAACATCGTATGCTTTTACACCGACCGACCTGCTGTTGACACACCATCCCCGATGAATCATACCAAGAATAAAAAGAGACTCAGACAAAAGAACGAACAACCAAAAACAAATCCTCGGTAACGTTACCCTCTGAATCTGTTATTGTCGACCATTTCAGAGTAATCGACCCTATAGAAATGCACGTGACGTGTCACGGAAAAACAATGAAAGAACGCAGAGGGTAAAATATTCGTCATTCTTAAGTAAATCGCACGACCCGTATTATGACAGAAAATACGTACAGTTAAATTCCATGCACATTCCTAGTTTTCTAGTTAATCGTATCCGTCGCCGGATTGGAAAAAGTACAAGGATAACAATAGAAATAGAAAAAAATGAAGTATGATTATTATTCGGAAAGAATCATGATTCTTGGATATGTAATTAACGAATTCGCGAATGTGTCACATTATATCTGCATGAAAATCAAAACTGCAGCGACTTGGCAAAAGTGCAAACTGCTGTCGGAGTCCGACATTCTTGTAATGGATATATCCTGACGACCACGCAGTCGTAATCCACACACGTAATAAAAGGAACGACGGATGGGGAGTACAGGGAGAGGCAGCACGTTGCACAGTCATCACCGTTACACGAATGCGCACGCGTACGAAGATTTGATCATATACACATTTTTATATTAGAGAATTTGCTAAATACTAATATTCTGCAGAAGAGATCTAAATTTTCCTCTAACACTTTTTATAGCCTAGATTATAGAACATATCCTGGAGATAAATCTTTTTGCAGAACTCTATTCCTACACTTTCTAGCCAATTACAAATAGCAATTAACAAGTAGCCGTCACACTTCATCGTCAGTCTCGTTTGCCACAGCGATATTCTACCCAGCTAGTCCAGACGTATGAGAAAAGAGATACTTACATTTTTATTCATTGCTTCGCGAAAAGTTTCTTAAAACTTTGGCCGGTATTCAGAGTCGTTACTTATTTTTAAGATCACCTTAAGTATTTCCTATCCCTGTCTTTCCAGTCCGTGTTGTGTACAGGAAACAGGAACTCAAGTAAATGTTTAAGGCGATCTTAAAAATAAGTAACGACTCTGAATACCGGCCTTTGACCTCGTTTCGCAAAATGCTGACTTAACCCTCAAAGTGAAGCGAACAGTAGATAGCAACAGTAGAAATCTATATTATCGGCTATCATCCAGATACGCGGGAAGTTCGAATAGAACGTGATCTATAGCACTCGCCTATTCACTACGATGAATCAACGAATGATACTTGTCACACTAATGAATTAACAAACTATTACCATCACAAAAGGTGGACCCTACGTATGAAGCTATTTAGGGGAACCCTCCCTATTGCATACGTACGACTACCATCATCACCACTATAATCGACGCTTCAACCCCTCGCGGGTACCACGATAAAATCGTCACGCTAGTTTAATCAGAAACCCGCAGGAAGTCCTATGTAAGTTCTCATCAAAACGCACGTGTGTATGAATATGTTGAGCTTCAGTGCACAAGCTAACACTTGTCGTTTGTGTGCAGGTTATATCATTCTTTTTTTCGAGTACATCCGTGATTCATGATAGGGTACACACGAGAACATTATCATAATTATTGTTTTTGTAGAAAATTTATAAATTCCATACCTCAGCGAATTAGTTATCCGATTTTTTAATAATATTCGAGCCTGCACAAAATTCTACCAGTACACTACTGAATTATTCCTTATCTCGAAGAACGAAGAAACATTTCATTGTTAAACATATGTACAATACGTGAACAAAAAAATGTAGTTTTTCACAATAGATATTTAGGAATGATAGCTCATTAATTTTTATAAACAAGTCCTTGAAAATTAATTTAATGTAGTAGATAAAAAAGTAGAGAGCACTATCAAAAATGGAGTAATATAAACCAGCAAAGACACCACGTGTTTAAGCCACGTGCTTGTTAAGTTATTTCACTTGGTGGGAGGTCGATGGATGAACGCGTTTTCTCCGCATAGTTTCTTGCACGATATATTTATCAATCACTTCAACGTACTAACTTGCATTTGAACAATAAGAGTTCAAGGAGCATCGATTTCTTATTCCTATAGTTATGAAACTAGTTTACGTTCTAATTCCCGTTGTCAACAAAAATGCTGAAAAAATGGACGACGTGCAAATTTGCAAGCTAACTAATTGTAAGTTCAATCTTGGTTTGTGAACGTCTATATCTCAAAGATAACGACGAATCCCTGTTCGAGATAACTAGCCTCGGCGACTAACGGTAACTTGCACTTTGAGTTCTTCTGTGACATGCGACTTCGAAAGGAATTGTAATAAAATATTTCGATTTAGTGGAAGAAATGAATAAACCATAAAAAATTTAAAGATAGAAAAACATATGTATTTACCTCGGGACGTGCAAAATTATTTTACGAAATTCCCTGTCGGCAACCATTTACAAATCCTATGAAACTACATTGCAGCAGAATCGGAAGAGTAGACGCGTTATAAATAAATCACAATTATACACGATGCATCCATAAAACACTAATATACGTGTAAGAAACGATTTACTACACTTCTATCCACAAACTTACTCAATCACAAGACTTTTTGTCGATTATAAACGTTTTGCACAATTCCGCACCGTTTTCTTGTTTCTTTCTCTCTCTCCTTTTTTACACACCCCGATATGGCACAACTTACATAATTTTCCACCACAATGTAGAAAACGAAGGGATTAATTAGCTCGCGCGCGGTGACACCGTCGACTGAAAGGCACGTTCTGACACGTGTTCGAGAACTCGAGGTTGTGGCACTGATTCGATCTCTCTCGTTTTCAGATACGAGTAAAGAAGTACGTATACACAAAACTCACCTGTTAAGGTACATGGTTAACGATTGGAACTCATGAATCTCGTCGAAGATTGCAATCGGTGAATAGAAAAAGTGTGACACGGGTGCAAAGAGATGGAGGGAAAATCACGAAGAGGAAGTGAACACGATTCACTGGCAACAATGACGCTCCCTCGCGAGGGAAGCAACTGCAGAGGCATACGGGGAGCAAGCAGCTCAATGAACATAACAAGGGGGAGGATGGTCGGCGGATGGACGAACGAACGACTCGAGTCGAGTCGAGTCAGCCTCGACACCCCGGGGCGTATCGGCGCCTATGGGCAGCGCCATATCCGACCGCGACACATGCGAGAGAGAAAGAGAGAAAAACTGAAGGGGGAGGGGGAACGCGAAAGAGAGAAACGAAGTGCACGAGAAGGACGGAACGATTCCAAGAGACGAGGGAAAGAGGAGGGAGGGAAGATTTACGCAACCCTCTCTCAGCGAGCGAAAATCCACGTAGAGAGGCACGCTGTCGTCGATGCGTCGATAAGCCACGTAGTATCTTCCTTACACGCGCTTCACTTTTTCTTCATGTTTTTCCAAGAAACTGTGAAACCATCCTCTCTCCTTTTACCCCGTGAACGTATCCTCTCTCTTTTGCTCTTGCTGCGTTAACCCTTCCCACGTACGCACACACAAACACGTACACGCACACGCGCGCGATATCGCACGGTGGCGTGCACGCACGCATACCCGCACGAACACCCACACATGGCAAACGTGAGCGCATAAACATACGAAGCACTAGCAAACACTCCTGATTTGAATTGTACACCACACGGCAACCAGGATGACGACTACGACGACGATGACAACGAGAACGATGGTAACAACGATGACGACGAACACACGGCACGAGCAAATCGTAAAACTTAAGGGAACAAGGGGCGAACAGAGCGAGACAACGATAGGTGAAAGATAGGTGCAAAAATAAAGAGGGAGAAAGCGACGAGAAAGTATGAGAGAGCAAGGAGCTTCCTTTCCTCCGCACTAGTAATATCGATTCGTAGGGTAGGAATGATGGCAACGACCCTACCTGGTTTGACGAAACGAGGCTCGAGGCGCACGGTACATTTTTCAGCTTATCGACACCGCCCGGTTTTCCCCGATGACACCCGAGTTCCGTAACACCCCGATTCTATTTGGTACACGACAACGTCAGGAAATTTACACACTATCGCACCACGTCGACTTACCTTGGCATCTTGGGATGCAGCTGATTCGACGACGGGGTGAGAGCCTCTCCACCGAGGACGTGCGACTTGGCCCGTGCAGCGCTAGGACGCCATGTCATCAAGTCGAGGCGCGGACTCGGGGCAAATCGCGCATATACACACTGATAGAGAGAGAGGCGCACGAACACCACGTAGCTGACCAACCCGGTGCCTGCCGTGCTGGGAATTCCTGCTGCGCCACCGAACGGCCGTCACGGAACCTCGCCTACGCCCGCCTAGCGCCACGACCGTGCTTTCCGTTCGTGGTACCCTTCACCGCTTTGCAACGCTCGCGACACCCGCCCGTTCGCGCGCCCTCGTTCAACCAAACCACCGAAGTCGTACCGTCGCGTCGAGCCCGTCGAGCCGCGTACAACCTCCCGCAATCCTACCACCGCTACCTACCCAATAATGGTCCCCACTACACCCTTCACCCTCTCCTTATACATATATCCCCTTCCTTCTCACCCTCCTCGTCATGCACTCCTCTTTTCCCTCGCTCCGCGACACCCCCTAACTCCCTCGCGCCATCCTGCGCGTTTCGTCCTTCTCGTTTCCCCTCTCTCACGCTCCAACACTTTTATACTCGCTCTCTCTTTCTGATTTCTCTGTCTGTTCTCTTCTCCTTTTCTGTACCGTATCACTCCCTCTCGCTCGTTCTCTTTCGATATACCCTCCATCCTTCTCTGTCGCACCGACTCTCCCACTCTTTTCTTAATCCGCAAGGAACGAATCGCCTAACTTCCTTCTCTTTCCTCCTAACCGTCATCTTTCCTCTTTTTATCTTCTTCAAAACCTACACAGACGCAATCCCTCGATTCGTCCTCCTCGTTCTTGCTCTCTTCACCCTCGATCACCCTCCGAAAAGGGCACTTATTTTCGCCCCTTTGTTCTCACGCTTGTGACCAACTTCTCCTTCTCTCCTACCTTTCCTTAAAACCTGCCACCTTCCCCTGCCTTGTACGCCCTCGTTCCTCGAGCTTCTTTCTCGAACACACCCTCTCCCTCTCTGCCACCTAAGCTACTTCTTACGTCGTGTGTTACTGCGCATTCGTTTCTGCCAAAGTCGCCACGAGCTCGTGCAACTATTCGCAAACTTGTTAACCATTGACGACGTCACGCGCGGTTCCAGTGGTTGCGACAGTCGCTTATCGCTTCTCGTATTATTTTGATAAAGGAAAATGCGGGTTAAAGGGGCACCGAGTCTCCGATAAACTGTTTTCAAAACGAATGGCTTACATTGCATTTGCTAAGCATGATGTTAAATTCGACTCTTTTAGAATTTTCCTATTTCACTACTTACCCGAAAAATATTGAAAATTAAGAAAGATAATTAAATGCTATTGGTAATATGTAATGGATCTCGCATCCCTTCGAACAAAGAGTGGGATGTGCAAAATGGCTACGTTTCCTCTGGCGGATGATCGAATGGAAAAATACAAGGGGTTGAACGAAAGCGGAGTAGAAAGAAATTCGTGAACGTTAAGAAGTCTGCGTTAGGAGTTTCGTCGCGAATTACATACGCAACCGCGATTTGCGTCTGCGCACTTTTTTCTGTACAGACTCGGCGAGCAGTGGTGTAAGATAGAGCGAGATAGCCACTCACCGCCACGAGGCTGTTTCTCAACTTCTGAGTTGCAAATGTACAAGTACCAACCACATTTGCGTATCCTGGTAGTAGTTCGTCGCCGCTTTAACTTCCGCTTCGTTCCTCGAGCCTCGTTGCGTATCCGTGGCAAGAATCCGTGCGTTGTCACGTTACCATGGAAATAAACGCACCGTCGTCCGATTTCCTCGTTGGATCTCAACTCGTGTACTGGTTGCGTGTCGTCACCGGAATCGTTGCGCTACGCTGACGGCACCTTGACACGTTTACCCCGACACGCGGATTCTACACCACCGCAGAAATTTCGAAACGACTTCATTATCGGGACTCTATTACGCGACGTCTCGCTATCTTTATCGACGCGATTTATCGATCCCCAACGGCTAGAGATCCTGAGTCACTTTACCGTTTCCCGCGCTTTTACTTTGTGCAAACATAAACTCCCTCGGACACAATTATATATAAAATGCGAGCATGCTAGATGAGGCAAATTTGGGATTCGGATGATACTTTGAACGAGCAATATATTATGCGTGCACGAAGTGACGCGTTACCAACACGAGGGTTGGTCGGAAACGATGCGCGGGGCGCTGCCGCGGAAGGATCCCCACGGATCTTTTCGGTCGACTGATAAAAAGGCTTGGAAGCTGCCTTGTCGCGATGGACGAGGCGTATACGGACAAAAAAAGTCGCTGGAAGGGGAAGCTCCGGAGAGTCTCAGAGTCGGGCAGGGGAGAACGGAGCACGCGGGAACGGAGGGATCGTCTGTCGGTGGCGGTGCTGGGGTGGGGGCGGTGGGTACGGCGGGGACTCGGTACCGGCGGCGACGGGGTGAAGAGGTAGATACATACACGTAGACAACGTGGGTTGGGGTGAAGGGGAGAGCTATATCGCCGCCGCCGCCGCCGCCGCCGCCGACACCACCACCACCATCACCGTTGCCGTTACCGCCGTCGTCGTCGTCGTCGACGTCGCCGCGCCGCCACGATGATTTGACTCTGCATGCTACCGCTGCCACCGCCACCGCACGATGATCCAACTCTTCTGCTAGCTGCCGCCGCCGCTATCGTCACCACCACCGGAGAGCCACGCCACCGCTGCTTTGCTCCTTCGGTGTCCTTCGTTTCGCTTTAGCAAGAATCTATCGTGCTAGTTCCATTACGTTGACTTGTGCGTTTAGAGAAACTCGGTTGGCTCTCCTACCGCCTAGCGCGCCCACGGCCAGGGCTGTATCGCTTGGGGCTGTGTTCGTCCGTTCTAATCTCATGGCCTCCCTGCTGCCACGCTTCTTAGTACTCTCCTCTATATACACGCGATTACTCCACAAACAAAAATCTCTCTATCTTTCCTTCTCTCTTTCGCGAGATCTATAATTGATTTCGATTATCTTTCGAACAACGACGCTTTGATACTTTGATACGTATACGTATGTATCGCATATGTATTTGTATCGCGTAACGGCCTATTCTTACGATTTATTCTCATACGATACACCTTATCTTATCAGAAATCACGGTTTTCCCTAATTTATAGCGTTAGGAGTATCTCTGCATACGTTGACCGAGTTCTCGACACTTCTCATTTACCGTAAAATAATGCCACTCTATTTTCCTGATCTAATATCATTTACGTTTAAATCTTAGCTTATCTCTCATAAATAGAGTGTAGCTTGTAAGCTCTTCATCTTGGGCAGCCTTGAACTGTCCGTTCGTTGATAGTCGTGACGTTCGGCCCATGAAATCACCTATGGAATCTTTCGTTCGCACGGCTAGACCAGGGCCCGGCTAGTATCTAGCTAGGGAGCTTAGAAATCCAGAGGAAACTAAGATGAGTAGAAGGGATACTATCGGAGGAGGTGGCAGCAATGGCGTTCCGAGTTGCGAGGAGTAGGCAGAGAGGAGACGGCTGCCTTCATATGCCAGGGAAAAAGAGGACGGCGGAGAGGGTCGCGGAGAGACAGAGTCGAGGAGTACTACACGTGTCGCTGCAGCGGGGTGTTGACCCCAAATAGCTTTTTTAACGTGACGTAACAACGAAAGGGTTGAGAAACGGCTAGCAACGTCGTTCGACGGGCAACCGACTTCTTAGGCTAAAGCCAAGCCCTTGCCTCGCCTTTAGGCCTCGCGTGGCTCCCCGTTAGATGTACAGCACAACGATCCTTTCATATTCGAAAAGCCACTTGCGTGATTCTCTGCCCGCCATCGTCTCTCATCGCTATGACCACGATGTTGTAATTAAGATGAGGGATGCTCCCAATTTCTCGATATCTCAATGGAATCACGTTTAGACGCTTTCGACGGTGAAGAAGTTAAAAAAATGTAGATGAACCGAGAGAACTAAAATTGGTAAAATAAGAATTGTACAACCGGAGAACAAACCAGGGAAAGCAAAATTATGTCTTATTATTCCCATTTGTAATATAACTACAATTCCATATGAATTAATTTAGAAAGAAAAAAGTTAATCAAGATTAGTAATGTTAATTTACGTGAGATCTGAATGGTCAATCGTATTTATTTTTATACGCTTCCTGGGCGCAGAAATTTGACGTCTGGTCTTCAAGTTATTTATGGTATGACTACCACATGTGAATTTACATTACAATTTGCACACCGCATTATCTTTGTGGCGTCAAAGGTAGAATATAGTCAATCACATGGTCAAGGGTGACAGGTTACGCCAAGATCGTATTGCGATTGCAACACTTTCTAATAAGCTTTTATCAAAGAACATTATGATTTAGTGGAAAATGAAAACTATTTAATAGAATGGACTTCGTTCAAATGGAAACATGATGGGTTATAATTGCATTGCGTTTCATTAGGTTACCAATAATCAAGTCAGATGTAGAAAATTTGAACAAACAAAAAACGATAATTTTTGGTAGATATGAGGGTATCGGTTTCGATTTAGGAATTCAAATACCGAAAGGAGGTTAAGACGACACTTAACCCTCCGTCGCATATGGTTTCCAGTTGGAACGGTACTGGTATGTCGCAATACAGCCTTATGTGTACACTGTATGTACCTAATTAGGACCATTGAAGAGAAGGGAAAGACAGACAGACACGTTGAATATAGGGCGCCCCCAGTTCCTTTTTATTTCGTCATTCGATAATGCCACGCGGACTTTTTCGGGGACGTCTTTACTTATCTCTTCTAATAGGATTTATATAGTTTAGTTTAGCGAGCGATCGTTGCTTCGGGAAACGCAACGAAGGTGGTGTGGGAAAACAGCGTAATAGGTATAGGTATTACATAGAAGAGAGAACGAAGTTGAGTGTCTTTCTCTATCTCCTTTCTTAATATCACGTATACATACACGCACGCACGCCACATGCGACAGCAGTGGCTATCTTATCAAGCCAGCTACACCCTGAGAGGCGTAAACGATATTTTTCCTATTTGCTCCGGAAAGTACAGTGGTTCCCCGTTGCTGATCGACGAGCGACCCTTTGTAAGGTCAACGTTGAAGTTTTTCGAGGTCGACGTAAATAGAAAGGGCGAGATACACCGATGAGATT